GCGACCAATATTATTCATATTCAACGTGATGTGGTTTCACGCTTCAACACACCGGTGGGCTAAAGTAGTGAATTATGTGTCTTTTGTCAACGTGACGCTTTTTTTGCTGATTGGCCGTGTCGGGTGGTGGAGGATGACGACACATTTAAAAATAATGCGATCTAAACCAAAAACGTTGATTATGAATTGAGGAAGGTAGATAGAGAGGGGAAAGTGATACAGATTGGGCACAGGAGCAGTGGAACGTTGGTGTTAATATTATTAAAATGATTTGGCTGCTTCAAATGTCCACATGATAAGCCGCTTCGTTGAGCTATTATTTGTGGCCAGGTCGCTTTTGAAAAAGAAGCTAATAGCTCAGTGGGCCTTACCTGGTAAGATAAATTAAATAAAAATTGTAGATTTGCTTACCCTCCCTATACTTTTTGACCCGCCCAAACTGGACATCTGTAAAAAAAAGAGCTGTATAGCCCATCGGGATTCCTCCCATATAAATATTCTAATTCAGAAAAGCGCAGTCCTCGTATTTCGACTTACACATCTGTGCATGCGACTATGTAGAAACATAAACACATTCATACACAACAAAGATAAATACAAAGTCCCCCCCCACCCCTTAAAGGCTTAACAGACTGTTAGGGCAAGTGCTGTTAGCGAGAACCTATGAAGTCTGACATGGCACACGAGGGGATGGGTGGCCAGCACCACGCCCGGCCGCCTTTGTCTCCCTAGTGGCGATGTTTACACATTGCACTAGGTACTTATTTGTGACTGAGTGAATCTAGAGGACGCCCAAGACCGGTTCAGATAACCTGTCACTGGTGGTGGCCTTGAGCGGGAATCTAACTCGGTTTGCTGGGTTCATATCGCAGCACAGCACTAACCGCTACACTAGCGCTCCGCACACATTCGTACAAAGATACCCTGTATAGCCTCAACAGATTGTTGGGGCAAGTGCTGGTAGCGAGCACCTATGAAGGCCAGAACGGTACACGAGGGGGTGGGTGGTCAGCACCACGCCCGACTGCCTTTGTCTCCCTAGTGGCGATGTTTACACACCACACCTGGTAATCATTTGAGGCTGAGTCAACCTAGGGGAGGCCCAGAACCGGTTCAAATAATCGTCACTGGTGTTGGCCGTGAGCGAGAATCAATCTCGGGTCGCCGGGTTCATAGTGCAGCACATTAGCCACCACACTACCGCTTCCCAACAACAACAACCGCCATTCGCCACTAAGTGGTGGCGACATCACCATGGCGCCCGTGCCAAGCTATGTGCACGTTGAGGCCACGTGAAGTGTCGAACGCCCGCCTGCGGGAGGTCACGGGGTAGACCCAGGTGTCATGGGTCGACTGAGTGAGATGACTGGCCAATGCACCACCTGTGCTCCCTACTTTGCCAACTTGCTATGTTTTAGCCGCCCGGCACTCTGCTCGTTGTTGTGAGCATCGCTCTTCTGCCCTCCGTTGTTGTTGGAGGACGACTGCCTCCAACTGCCCAGTAACGTCCTTCACGAGCCTCCACCACAGAGGTCGATCTTGACACTGCTGGTACCAGTCATTGGCGAGTCCACTCAGCTCCAAATTCTCTTGTACCACATCACTCCATCTCTTCTCCAGCCCGTGCCGCGCCCATTTAGCCCCCGTTATCTGGCCGAACAAAAGCTGTTTAGGCATGCAGTGCTGGGCATACAGGTTAGATGACCCAGCCAATGCAGCCGGGCCTGCCGGAGGAGCTCACCGATGGGACGTTGTCCAGATCTTTCAAGGGTTTGTGAACTCCTCACACAATCCAGCCTGGTTAAACCCAGAATGGATCGTAGGCAGGCCAGCCTAAATGTTTCTAACCAGTGAAGATGTTCCATTAGGGGGGTCCACGTTTTGCAAGAGTAGAGAAGGGAGGGCATGCCCGAGGCTAAGGAGACCTGAAGCTTTGTGTGGAGCCACAGACCAGGTAGCTTCTATACAGCGTTATGCAACCAATGAAAAAATAATGCCGCTCAACTGATTCGGAGTGAGACCTCTGCTGTCAAACCAGAGCCGGTCATGAGCACACTGCTCAGGTATGGGAGACTCTACACTCTCTCTACAACTGCCCTATCTCCAATTGGTAGTTGTGTGGTGAGAGTGTCTGATGGTGCAAAATACCCAGGCAGGTACTTCGTTTTTGTGGGGCTGATGGTAAGGTCCCAGGTTCAGCAGCAGTGCCTCCAACTCCTCCTCTGATTGAGCAGCAATAACCAGATCATAAGCATACATAACATGGTTGACCAATAGGGAGCCATCCCTTGACCGCACCTGGGCACTGATCAGCCTCTTATTGTTTCTGTACCGATGGAAATTCCTCCAGTACAGCCATCGAAGGCTTCATGAACCATGTGGTCTAAATATATATTAAATAATGTGGGAGCCAGAGGACATCCCTGTTGCACCCCACGGTGAACAGGGAATGGCTCCGACTCCCGGCCACATTGGATTTACCCGGGCTCGCTCACCATCACGAAGGTCCTTAATGATCATGAGCAAAGAGTCAGGAACTCCGAAAGCATGAAGAACAACCCAGAGCCCAGGTCTACTGATGGTATCATAGGCATTGACCAGATCAATAAAGCAGAGATGTAGGTTTTGTTGGAATTCCCTACACTTCTGCTGTAGCAGACGGACACAAAATATGGCATCTGCGCAGGACCACCCTTTCCTGAAACCACATTGGGGCTCTGCAAGCCTGTCCTCAGAATGCCTGGCAAGGCAATGTTGAATAATCCTTTCCAGGACCTTTCCCGGCACAATGAGGAGTGAGATGCCCCTGTAGTTGTTACAGTCTGTGCAGTCCACCTTCTTAAAGAGGGGGACCACCAGGGTATCCTTCTAATCCTGCGGAACACATTGAGTGGTCTAGACATTTCACTTGGGAGATCATCTCTGCCTGGTGCCTTTCCTGGTCTCAGACTCTAGATTGCCTTCAATACTTCCTCAACAGATGGCACCTCAGCCAGCCACTCAGAGGAGGTGACTACTTCTTCCAATATTTGAGGCACCGCAGCCTCAGCAGGGTCATCCCCACTTTGCCCCATGATGTTTTCCAGACTGAGGGATTTCCTCTCCCCCAAGACCTCACAGAAATTCTCAGCAAATCTGCAAACCTCTTCCTGGGAGTTGGGGATTGGATCACCGTTCTTTTCTCTAATAATGGTGATAGGTGTGGCACTCCAAGTTACTTTTTTATGGAATTAAAGAGTGATTTGTGATCGCAGGCCACTGAGGCAGATTCCATCTCCTCAGCAACCCGCGACCACCACCCATCCTTGCAGCGCCTCACGGCTCTCCGAAATTCAAGCGAAGGCTGCAGTAGGCCTCCTCATTCTCTAATGTGGGATGCTGTAGACGATGAGAGTGGGCCTGTCGCTTTTTCTCAGCCAGCCTGAACACCTCCTCTGCCAGCCAGTGTCTCTGGGGAGGTCTGGAACGTGTACCAAAGGCAGCCCATTTCCCCTCGACATCAGGAGGAGTGGGAGGCGATGCCAACCCCAGCTGCAAGCAATGATGGCTTTCTCGCTTGCAACTTTCATCAGCTAGCTGAGACCAGGCCACTATAGGTTTGAATGGGGTTCTGGGTGTACACCCACCACCACACCCCACACATTCATGCACACACACCCACAGACCCCCGAGAGCTGACAAAAGGTGGGCCTATGGTGGGGGGCGAAAGGGAAGGTCTTACAAAAGGTGAGGTAATTGAGCTAACGGCAAACATAAATCCATAAATGAAAGATAACATTCGTGAGATAAAGTCAGAGACGTTTAAATAGAAGTAACAGAAAGAAAGAAAGAAATTAGATCAAAGTCAATTGCCATCAGTAACAGCGGAAACGCCAGTTTCCCTGCCAACCCAGATCTCTAAAGTTCGAAGGACTTTAACTGCTGTAAAAGTATGTAACTGCTTAAGAGAAGAGGGGACGGTTTGACCCAATTGTGAAATGTATATATTTGTAATGCTTGTTGTTAAATCTTTATTTGCTGAATCTTTGTACCTTATTGTACATTTCAACGTATGCTATGATATGAATATAGTTGATTCATATGGAAGTCATTATGAGCCTAAAATTGTCAATTTATTCTTCTCAGTACTTTTTGATTGTTCCTCATCCGTAAGAAATTTTTCATGTAAGCTATTTAAAAACATACACGTGTGATAAGACTACAGACTCTGAAGAGAAGACTCAGCATAATTATAATCCCTGTATTTTCTAAATCTAAGTTGCAGTTGATAGTAAAAATGGGCCTTTGTTAACATTTGTCATGCAATTGAGCACCAAAGAGGACTGATGTCATGGAACTACACTAACCAGTGTTCACTGCAGAAAAGAAAGAAAATATAATATCTGACGTCAATCTCATTTTAATTTCACAAATAGCCACGTATTATATTTGAAGGCTCTGTCACCAATTTAAAGTCTGTGTGCGCGCATACAATATAAAGATCAAAAGTGCATATGTGAAATGTGAATATGGTACTTAAATAGCGCATGACATTTCCATATCACCATGGCAACTATTTAATGATATCATTCTCTCAAAGAGGCTACATGTGTATTTTTGTATAAATTAAGAATATATGGTGACCCAGGACACACATACGTACACATATTGCATTTTATGTCAGCAATGTGTGGCACATTAGGAATGGACTACTCCTTTAATGATTTCCTCGTGCAACAAGGGAGTAAAGTGTGGTTTTGTGAAAGTCCTTATGTGCTGTGCAGTACATCTATGCACGTGTGTCCACCAGCATTTGATGACTTAGTTGGGCCTGTGGGTGGCTGGCAGGATTGTTGATTAACGGGACTTGTACACCAGTCGCGTGGTTAATGGCGACTCGTACTCTTTGTTTTTTTCGGTAAAGTCATTTGCTGAATATGCTTTCACGCTTGGGGCCATCCGTCGTGTACACATGATTCCCCATCCGTGTAAATGGACACTTGTTGTGGCAGCCAACCTACCTTGTATTGGATTTCCTGAAGAATGTCGGTCAACCCTTTGAGTCCCAGGTGCTCTCGACCTATCTGTAAAGCATATCAATAGCAGGCATTCATTGTACTCCCATCAGCAAATTGTCTTTAGAATAACAGTATGGTAAAAAAAACAACGTACGGAGTATCACCTCCAATCTGACTCTCATCTCGACTCAAAAAATGTTATCCTTGCTGCCACTAAGTATGTATGTATGTTGAACTTTCGCACCATATGTAGCCAATCGTCCTAATCGGAGATGATATTTATCAAGTACTAATGGTTGCATGTGTTATAATAACTTAAACACTGACAAATACAAGTCAAACACAAAGGAAACTATTTTTTAAGGCACTTAACTGAACTAAACTTTTCATGATAATTGTTTTTTTACCCTTCTATCTGGCAACAAAACTGACACCTTTTTTACAAGGAGTCATGTTTGCATAGACCACAATACCTGCAGCCATAATGCAAGCAAAAAACATAACTCTGATAATATATGCACTGTCATTGAAGTTGATTGGTCCACACCCGAGACAGCTTTCCTTAGAGCCTAGTCTCACATGGTTTGGACCAGATGACGCCAAAAGGCGCGTCATCTGGTCCAAATGATGCCAAAAGGCACGTCATCTGGTCCAACCCATGTGAGACTAGGCTCTAAGGAAAGCTGTCTCGGGTGTGGACCAATCAACTTCAATGACAGTGCATATATTATCAGAGTTATGTTTTTTGCTTGCATTATGGCTGCAGGTATTGTGGTCTATGCAAACATGACTCCTTGTAAAAAAGGTGTCCGTTTTGTTGCCAGATAGAAGGGTAAAAAACCAATGATCATATTTTTTACTGGCAAATGAGGTTCCAATGGTGTAAACTTTTCATTTTACCAGGTAAGGCCCACTGGGCTATATAGCTCTGTTCCAGAAGCGACCTGGCCACAAATGATAGCTTAACGAAGTGGCTTATCATGTGGAAATTTCTAGCACCCAAATAATCTACACGCATGTTTCTAAATGTTTAGGGAAAAACCGGACAAGCCAGAGAAAAATCTACGTGACCACAGGGAGAACGTGCAAACTCCAAATATATAAGCGTCAGGGTCGGGATTGAACCTATGACCTCCTGCATACCAGGCGAGATAGTTAACATCTCGCCACCGTGGCAAGATGTGCAAATTCCCGACAGAATAAGTAATTCGACTTAACGTGGTGTCCTTAAGTCAATGAAACAATATAATGATTTTATGTACAAAGTCACATTAAGTGGATGCAGCTACATTAAGACTGCATCAATGGAAAGTACATCATGTTACTGAATCCCTTACTCCAATCATCAAGAGGGCAGTGGTCAGCTCCGTTGGTGGCCCTGAGCCCATTGTGGAAATGTTAAGCTTATTCAAAGCCCATATTTATCTATTGATAATGCAACATGTAATGTGAATTGATGTAATACGATATTTTCATTATAAATAATGTAATCATTATAAATGATGTCATCATTGTGATCCGTCATCATTGAAAATGTTCAAATCCTGGCCACCGTCCGCTGGTGTGTTTATTTTGTATCTACTTGTAAGGGACGATTGGCGGCTTGACTTTTCACTTCCAATTTGCAGACGAAAGCCTCTCATCGCACGCCAATTAAACACGAGGTGAACGAGTCCACTGTCGAAAAACAATCGCCCGTAAACATCAGCAACGTCACGCGCATGCCAAACAGCACGGGCATGTCAATAACTGTGAAATTAAATTCATACCAGATGATACAATATCGAGTACAAAGCACACGAGGCACTCAGTGCACAGGACACAGAGAGCTTATTGATAGCACACTTTCAGAGCCAAGCACAAATAGAGAAATCTATTCACCTAATGCCTGCACACACACGTATTCGCAGGGCTACGTTTTCAGTGAAGGGACACTGCATGCATTATAAGGCTACTTGCTCAATAATGTTTTTTTTATTTCATACATTTGCAATTTGCCTTTGCGATTTTATCGTATTCATCCTGCTATTTTTCGGGGTCGATAAAATGAGTATCACATTGTGGGGACGTCAGCTGCGGGTATCTCGCGTAAAACTCGCCCCTGCAAGCGTGTTGGCCGCCATACTCTGGAACTCTGTCCCATGAGACATCACAATCTCTAAAGTCTGTGGACATTTTTAACGCTCATTTTAAACCTTATCGATACACTTCCGTTTATACTGGTAGGAACCTCCTGGTTACACCAGCCCACAGGGGATTATTGTGTCCGTCCGTCGTGCAAGGAGGGGCTGGGTGGGGAGTGTGGGGCTGGGTGGGGAGGGGAGGGTGGGGAGGGGCTGGTGGGGAGGGGCTGGGTGGGGAGGGTGGGGAGGGGCTGGGTGGGGAGGGTGGGGTGGGGCTGGGTGGGGAGGGGCTGGTCACCCCGTGGTGCCCTTATAAAACTCAACGTTTAACTTACTCACGCCGGCTTGTGCCCGCCCTCACAGTCGGGCATATTTGCGGAATACACCACGCCGCCGTTGACCCTGGCCATTGACCGAGCAACCCAACGTTACTACCAGCTCCCTCCGCAGGAATGTGTTTAAACTTTTTTTCAATTCAGAAAATGGAGTTTAGTATTTTTTTAATATTTTGTCAGTTCTTAGTTTTTCGTTCCACGAGTTATTGTCGTGCTGAGTGTCTACTGTGTCTTGTACAGTGATTTGAGATTCTTGATGAAAGATGCTTTATAAATAGCATTATTATTACTGTTTCATTCCCACCACTGGCTCAGTATCCTAAACAGGATGTCGAACACTGCCTCAGAAGGCAAATCACTAAAGACTTCTTTTTTTACGTAAAAGTAGTTTGCTCCGTAATCGTTTTTGTACGTTTTGCTTCCGTGCTTAACGGTGCTGTATCTCAGTCGCGGCAAGGTTTAAATGTGGATTGTACATTTTGTTTTGGAGCTGCGCCACCAGAGACCAGATACTGGCCGTGCTATAGCGACTTGCTTCAGCTGTACGGCACCCGGTGTGAATGGGGGCACTGTACAGCAAAAAAAACCCAAACAGGCTGTAATATAATGCTTTGGTTATATTCTCCAAACAAGCAAGCCCAGCATTGAATTTCACAAACAGACATGAATGAGGCGGCTGTGTTAGAAAACTGAAAAGTGGAACTGGGAATGAAAAATTAGAGTTCATTAAAAAAAATGGTTTTATGGTCACCATTTCAAAGCATGTATTCATACTACCGTGAGATGTATTATTCTGAAGGGTGTTTTCATTTTTCTATTAAATTCTGACCTGTCATTTCAGGATGATTGTAGCAAGTGTCAAAGTGAATTTTTAACAGGCTTATTACCAATCCAACACACAAGCGTTGCCTGCTCAATAATTCAGCCGAGTCTATTAAATGCGGTCTCCCTCTTCAGTGCTGGCCTGGCTGGGAACGCCAGAATATGATTTTAAATCACATACAGTATGCACTTCAATAGAGCATTCTGATTTGAATGAATTGATGAACTCAAGATGGGAAGAAAAAAAATTACTGCGCGTTTCAAATCTCTCATCATCAATTGTCATCGTCCACCATGATCTCTCCACTGCTGGATGAAAATATTCCGAAACCGATTATGGAACCTGATTGGATAATTTAATAAACAGGACTGCAAAGTTTATGCTTGAATGTAAATATATTCGCAAAACAATAGTCACGTAATGCACAAGTGCACTTAACAATGGAGATATCTGTTGGAGAGCCACAATTGGAAGTAACACGTGTACCTTAGACGAATTATTGAGGATGGACTGGGATAGAAACACTGATGTGCCTTTATCCTTTACCATGACTAATTTTAGATTTGAAGCTTTCGTGACTGCAAGGATTCATATTCTTAGGTTTTTTCGGTAAAGTCACGTAGGTAAAAAATTAAAATTTATAAAAGTAAATTAAAAAAAATAAAAATAAGAAAATATATTTTTATTTTTATTTTACTTTTATTAATTTTATTTTTTACCTACGTGACTTTACCGAAAAAACCTAAGAACATGACTAATTTGCTGTCGCGAACTTTTTTTGCTTTTACAACATGCAAAGACAAAGATCCCCCATATAGCCTCAATGAATGTCAACGTGGAGCACGGGTGTGGGGGGGGGCACCACCACACCCTGCCACCTTTTCATCCCATACTGATGTTTACACACCATTCCAGGTTCAAAGTTCATTTATTAGGTATAGCCCTGTGAGCCATTCGGCTCTTGAATCGGGTGCAACTGCTGAATCGGGTACTCATTGAAGGGTGAGTCAACCTAAGGGAGGCCTAGAACAGGCACAGACATTCATCACTGATGTTGGCAGTGAGTGAGGATCGAACTCTGTTCGTCGACTTCGTAACGCAGTGCGCTAACCACCGCCCCACCGCTCCCCGCAGCGTAACCAGTTGACCCACCAGCAAACTAAACCAATCAGTCCCCTCGATTATAGAGCACTTACCCTTTAAAGGCAAATGCTCGTCTTTGAAATATTGTCTGACACTCTCCGAGTGTGGAATGTTCAGTACTGTGGTGCAGTGTTACCATGGAGATGAGCTCCACCGCACACGATGCGAGCACAGAGACACTGATTCGAGTTGAAGTGTGAGGACAGTCATGATATTGTGACAAAGTGCAATGCTGCCTCAATATTTGTCTACTGTCCAACATTTAACGATATACATCTATGTGTACACGACACGTGCACTTGGTGTGAACTTTCTTTGTACTACACTATGCGTGCACGCAGAGATGCTGATTCTCCCTCTAAGACGGATCGATTACAGGGCAAAGTTTTGTTAAACGGTCGCCCTGTTTGAGCGCTGAGCGACAAAAGGGCTTTAAATGAGAGTGGTGTTAGGAGCAGTGCAATCTTACCTGGACAAACAAAGCGATGATTGCAATCCCATTTTCTTTGCCCATTGCGTCCTCTATGTTTTTGTACAAAGTGGCATTCCAGTGAATAAGGTGGCACTGAAAAGCAGAAGAGCCACGAGAATGTTCCAAAACTCATCACGGTGATTGTATGCGAGTAGTAGTAATACTCGAACAATTATCATTTAGATTTAGATTTAAAGCTTCGTGACTGCGGGGATTCATATTCTTGGTTCTTTCGGTAAAGTCACGTAGAAGGGAAATAATAAAATAATAAAAATACAACGTCATAAAATAATAAAAATAAAACATAATAAAATAATAAAAATGAAACATAATAAAATAAAATTCTCACGACGTTTTTGGCTGCGTACGTTGTGGCCTAAACGTCGTGAGAATTTTATTTTATTATGTTTTATTTTTATTATTTTATTATTTCCCTTCTACGTGACTTTACCGAAAGAACCAAGAATATCATTTAGATACTCTCACAACTATGTTCATTGTAAAGGAAGTGCTCAGGACCAGTTCAGATTTGTGAAAATGAGCTTTATAGCTCATCGGATTCCTCCAGTATAAATAAATATAAAGATTACGATGTTTGAGATATCACCACTGCTTTCATGCCATGACCAGGAACTGATCTCAGGTTGCAGGAGTTTATAGTGCAGTGCGCCATGTACACAATAAATAATAATAATAATCAAGAGATGGCCTCTTTGATTACCAATATATGATAATGATGATAATAATAACAACAATGATACAAATGTAAGTTCATCAACTATAGTAATGGCCCTTCTGGACTGATATTGTCGAATGCATTGAATATAACATTCGATCATCTGTGTGTGGCTTGACAATGAGTGTTTTGCAAAAGACTGGGCTTGAAAATGTAACAACAACAACGGCCTTCTCACCTCCATGGGGAAGGCTTTGAAGTTCACGGTGTGCTCGGAGCCTCGCTGGTCTTCTTTACCCCAGTGGAAGCAAACGTGGGACAGTTCAAACTCCTGGCCAATGGGAAAGGGTCCCCCTGTCGTCACTAACACAAGGTGGGGGGGGGGGAGAACGGACATCAGTGTCACCATCGCCGTCGTCACCAAGCCTGTACTCGAGCACCTTGAAGGTGGATCTCGCAGACTTAACCGAGTGTGTTCGCGACATCCAAGCTGCCAGCAGCACACGAGGTGGTCTGTGGATACCTGTATCAGAAAGTGGGTTGCTGACAAATCTGTGTGTAATGTGTGTCCAGTTGCCTTGCGTGCATGGGGGTTTTCTAGCAACACTCGATGTAAATAAAATAAGATAAATATACCCTGACTGGTAAGACTTAAAAAAAAAATTTGAGACTCACTTAAGTAATTAAACGACCATTTTTCATTCATCATTGTCATCAAAATCTTCTGAACTTTTTGAGAGTTTTTGTACAGACGAATCTCACGTTAGGTCAGCGCGCAGGCATTTGGCCTCGACAAGGATTAATGAATGGGAAATCTCACAGTTGAGTTTTGTTCGTCTTTAAGTCGCGGTTGCCGAGCAAAGGCCCAAAATGCCAATCGGCCATCAACAAACCGCACCATTAATGTTTGCAATGGACAAGGATTTAACACGTTTCTTGAATTGAGCAAGGTTGTACGATTGGTAAAAGGGTAAAAATAATTGAGTAACTATCACGGTTTGGCCATGACACCAGCAGAGACCATCGCTCGCTCCTTCCTCCAACGGATGTCTCCGGATCTTTCGCATGCGTGCAAGATCACAGCAGACAGCAGAGTCAATTTAATAGCGTTTTAAGAAGGCATTCATTATTATCAGCCGGCCAAGGTTAGAGTCGAACCAGAGAACCCTGGACCTCGGGGTGACTGCACTGACCAGCAGGCCACCCAGCATTAAAGGAGACATGTCATGGTAAATTAATTCTACGACAGTCTGCCAAAGCAAAGTCTGTAGTCGCCTGTAAATACGGGAAGCAGCAAGGCTGCTGGCTAAATAATTTAGCAGGTTTCCTGAATGGAAAGAAGCGCTTACGTGAGCTTTGAGGTCATTTCTAAATGCTGAAATGCACTTTTATTTATTGCACTTTTTTGGGGTAATATATTCGACCATGAATTGATAACATGTGCTAAATCGGGTCCTTCGTTTAAGCAAAAGCATTTATTAGAATGTACCCAACACTTGATCCAACACGGGCTGATATGGAACATTGTGCCATTGGCTTATCTCATAAAATATACAGGGATACCAATTTGGCATAGTCAATTGGGGTTTAACGATGCCTCCATACACAGATGAATACAGATTCTTCATCTCGTGCCACACGTATTGAATCACAATTGTAAGAATCAATGTTTTTACATTTGTGCATGTTGTACGCAATCAGTTTGTGTGATCACTGTGGCTATTTAGAGGCTCAAACCATTCACGGTAATGTTAGAAAAAAATGTCATCGCGACCCAATCTTGTGGCATTTCATTTCGGCACCAGGAGTTGGGGCGGTGGGTGAATCGTTGCACCTGTACACAGGCAACGTCTGAGATTTGTTGACTGCAAAACCGAACGGGTGTTAATTGCAACATTCTAAGATTGTGAATATGGCTGAGTGCCGCTTGTGTAAAAGCAGTAAGTTCAAATCCCGTTTGAGGCTTGAATCAGTACATTATCCCCACCAGGTACATCAAATTGATACCACTTTGATGATAAACTAACAGTCGTCAACCTTTGAATCAGAATCTTTATACTGGTAGGAACCTCCTGGTTACACCAGCCCACAGGGGATTATTGTGTCCGTCCGTCATGCATCCAAAAATGGGAGGGGTGTGGCTGGGTGCAGAGGGGAGGGTGGGGAGGGGCTGGGTGGGGAGGGTAGGGAGGGGCTGGGTGGAGAGGGTGGGGCTGGGTGGGGAGGGGAGGGTGGGGCTGGGTGGGGAGGGGCTGGTCACCCCGTGGTGCCCTTATAAAACTCAACGTTTAACCTACTCACGCCGGCTTGTGCCCGCCCTCACAGTCGGCCATATTTGCGGAACACACCACGCCGCCGTTGACCCTGGCCATTGACCGAGCAACCCGACGTTTCCTACCAGCTCCCTCCGCAGGAATGTGTTAAGACTGGAGGCATTCGATGAGCTATGAAGCTCTTTTTCACAGATTTCCAGTCGAGTGGTTCCCATAAAATAATGTGGAATTTCCAACCCAGGCTCAATGGTTACCAACTCGCATTGGGGCTACCCCACTGCTTATTTGAGAAGGGAGCCACATATAGCCCATTTCCACTGGCACATCTGAGCCGTGTCAGTGTGGGGCCCTTACAGTACAGCCCACAACGTGTCTAAATCCTGCTCGGGACCAAAACCGGACGAGTGGCAGAGCTAATAAAACGCATGCATTGTGTGTGACGTCATCCCACAAACAGGAGATCAATACAATTACATTCAGCAAGTCGGAGACTTGACACGCTGATGAAGTGTTGCGTGAGTATGTGCATGCACATCACTGCGTCATCTACACACATCTCAATCATTGAGTGTGACGTCAGCAGCATGGCTCGGCTTCTGTCGTAGACATAAACCCCGTGATGTCTGACCTGCACTGCCGGCTTGGCTCGCCATGGCCATGGCACGGCTCGGATGTTCCAGTGGAAAAAAAATACTTTCTGAATGTCACGTAGTGGGCACTCACCTACAATCCAGCACATTCTAGGCAAGGGGTTGTGGATCACATTTCCAAAGCCAATGGGATGCGAGGCGGCCAGAAGTGAGTACAGTTACATAAAATTGTTTTAGAGAATCCATATATGTGGACCCTTGCGTGTTATCACCTCACTGAGTGACGTTTTCTCTGGCTACTCTGGTTTACACCAACACGCAACACAATCTTCTTCGACGTTAAATTGGCCAAGGATATCTCACAGGGTATTGAGGCTCAGTGAAGCTTTCCTTGAGAGATTCACGATGCATGTGGGATGCCTGAATATTTCAACCACTGGCTCAGGGCCACCAACAGGACCACTACATTGGCATACCCAACAGTCTCTTATTAAGTCCATTACACATCCTGAACGTCATGAACTTGGTACAATTTTGGGTCACGTTATATGTGTGTTCCCACTTAATTGTTCTTGTACAATGATTCACTGATTGAAATAAATGAGTGCAAAATGCTGTTTATCAGTGTTCTGCCTCATCTAGCCTGTATATCATATTTATTCGTTTAGTGGAAATGTTTTCACCTCTGTGAATAGTTTTTTTTTTACGTGCTTTCATTTCGAAGCTTATAATAATGCTAATTTCAACTTTAAAAGCAAACGGTATTCAATCGCTCTCGAAGACAGAACGCAGCTCAAAGGCCCGAGAAACCAGACACAAGCGGGAAGGCAGCCAGGCTGTCAGCACATGCAACATTCCCCCCCAGGTTCTGATATCCTAACCCCTTCCCATTCCGATGACGTATGTGTACATCATTGTTTTTCTTCCGATTCCATTCCGATGACGTTTTTCGTCCAATTTGGAAAAAGAACTGAAATAAATTAACTTTATTGGTACGCCTTCAAATCGGAAGACGTACCGAAGCTCCCACAAGGCCATGCGGGAGGGCGTGTGGCACAGTTTGGCGCCAGCTATCATAGAGTGCGGTCGTGTCACTTCAGTTCTCTGCGATGAGTACAATGTCTTTAAAAACAACGGCGCTATATCTCTCTTAAACTTGCACACGTCTCGGAACGGGGGTTAATGTGCAATTTTATTGAGGGACTGTGCGTTGTCTTGGAGTGATCTGGGACTGTTCGTGCTGTTGTTTTGCTGCCTGACCGAAGCTTTGGAATTGATGTAGTTGTGGAATTTTAACTCATCTATTTTACGTATTTCTTTTTAGTTATTTGCTTACCTTTCCTGTACTTTGCACTCCTGTCGTGTTTTGTATTGTTTGTTGTTGTAACTTTTTGACCTGCCCCTACTGGACATCGGTGAAACAAAGCTTCATAGCTCATCAGATTTTTCCATGATAAATAGAGATTCTGACTTCTGATCTGATGAGATCATGACGCATTATGTGCGATATGGCTGAAAATAAAGATTACCGACCAAACACATCAACTTTGGCAGATGACAGCACGATTTTACCAATCCCTGCTTTGGGTTTACTAATTGATGACTCCGCCCATGCCAAGGAGCTCGGCCTATCAAGCTGACCATTTCGCCTTCTCCACACTGTGTTCAACCACCACACCGCAGGTCTCTGGAAACCCACTCACTCACACACTCACTCACCATACTGCAGGTCTCAAAAACTCACTAAACTCACTCACTCACCCACTCACTCACCAAATTACAGTTCTCAACAAACTCACTCACTCACTCACCCACCACACTGCAGGTCTCAACATCTCACTGACTCATCCACTCACTCACCACACTGCAGGTCTCAACATCTCACTCACTCACTCATACACTCACTCACCACACTGCAGGTCTCAACATCTCACTCACTCATCCACTCACTCACCACACTGGAGGTCAAAATACATCTCTCTATCGCTGCTCCTTTCCTCACACCGATCCAATTTGGAAATCCCTCCCATCGTCTTCTTTACCAAGTCTTCTTTCGCACCGTACGTAGCCAACCATGCTAATTAGTTGTGCAGCTGTTTTGGCCCTGTGAGGCTGGTGCTGAGCAACCGTGATAAAGACTACAAAGTTGCCGCACTACTGACCACGTGAATTCTTCATAAGAGGCGGTCGCAATGGCTACCAGGCCGCCTGGCCGTTTTTAGATTGACCGTGCCATCTTCTGTGATTCCGCACGAACACGAAAAATCCGGAGACATCCGTTGAAGGAAAGAGCGAGCGATGATCTCTGCTGGTATCATGGCCAAAATTCACGATTATATTTATTTACTCTTTTACCACTTGTTAAACCTTGCTTAATTCAAGAGACGTGTTAACCCTTTGTCTATTGCAAATGTTATTCGTGCATTATGGTTACCCTGTGGGGGCCAGCCCCCCTCGCCTTACCGGACTTGGAGCGGATGTGGATGTGCAGGGAGTGTCCATCGTTGAGCACCTCGCACTCGCGACACGTCAGGTAGGAGAGGCAGAGCGGGGCGGTCAGGAGGCTCGGGTCAAAGGTAGCCTCGCGGGAGTTGATGTTGATGGGCGACTGGTTCTCGCCATTCGCGTCCGGGAAGAGCGGGCCCCACTCCATTCCTTCCGACAGAAAGCCGAGCGTCAGGCACAGTCAACGGTGGGATTGTGATCGCCAAACCGCAGTGCTGTTTTAACGATAACACGAGTTACGTTTCATTTGCTTTAAATTTCATGCCAGCAGGAGCAATAACACCACAAAAATTTTGTTTTACAAATAGTAAACCTGCAGTCATTTTGAAATAGGTAACCAAAAACAAATGTTTTTTTTTTTATCTTAGAGATAAACAGCAGCTAGGGCTGTGTATTCCATGCTGTGCAACACAACCGGAAAGGTTCTCTAATAAGAAAAAAAAAAAGGATACGATCAAGCATACCATTACAGCACTCTAATCACAACGCTGCGTTTACTATAATTTGTTGTTATTATCACACGCTCGCAATTGCCGAGTCAGACGACAGCCGCTCCATCTGCAGAGTGCAGGAGAAAGGGCCCTCGGACCACCGTCTAAGTCCGGTCAGGGGGCCACGCGTCGACAACACGCAACAGTCGCTGAGCACATCCTCAGAATGGGTCGTGGGCACGTTGGCCCCAGGTGTGGGGAGGTTGGCTGCACCAGCCAATGCTGCATTAATGTATTAGAATACACGGGAGTGGCATCGCGGCGGATGTCACTATTGTGCAATCATGGCATTCCTCGCCGACTTTTAAAGGATGTATTTATAAGTGGCCACGTGGTGCAGGGGTGAGAGCAGTCAAGCCGGCAGGCACCGAGATCTTGAGTTTTAATGAGGGCAGCCACCTGTGACTAAACCGGGATCTCAAGTGGAGTGAATGGTCTCAGCCTTGTCACCAATGGTGGCAGATCAATGGTATCATATTACATTTGACTTTTTAATTAATTCAGCTCATGTCATCTCTGACAAATAGAATGTTCTTATTTTGTTGAAATGTGATGTACAGGGCATATAAAAGTGTCCTGCACGTATGGGTAAACAAGTCTACTGAAGGGACTTTCGAAGTACAGTAGTTGGGTGGCATCATTCGGGGCTGTTCTGCACAGTTAGCCACCACACAATTTTCAAATGTTATTTTCTTCATCTCATCATCTGAAGCCGACGTCACAAGTTTAGTGCAATTGGGGGAAACAAAGCACGACTATATATGTTTTTCATTCACGTAGCTTGCGGCAAACGTTTGTTAAGACAGCCTGGTACACACAGTTGAGGTATATATACGTAACAACATTTATTAATCCATCCATTTTCAATGACCAATGGAAGAAGACTTCCCCAACACCATGTTGTTTTGACCATGCATCACATCACTGTGCTGGTTAGTTACGGGCGACGTAGGCCCGGTTCTGATCGCTAACAAATGTGCCCACCACTCAACCCCCAGGGCACAAATATCTATCTTCACTATAACCCGACATTCGTTGAGGGTCGCGGCGGCAGCATGTTGAATAGGGCAGTCCAGGCCTCCCTTTCCCAGGCAACAGACTCTAGATCTTCGCCCAGTGGGACGCGCTGCCCGGTAGAGTTCCAGGGAGAATCTATCGGGGGGACATCCTTACCAAGTGCCTGGACCACCTCAACTGGCTCCTCTCGGTCCGGATGAGCAGCGGCTCGACTCTGAGGCTCTCCCAGATTGCCGAGCTCCTCACCCGGTCACGGAGAGTGAAACCGGCAACCCCGCGGGAGAAACCTCATTTCGGCCCCTTGTACCCGCGATCTCATCCTTTCGTTCATTTCCAAAATCTCATGACCATAGGTGAGGGTGGGAATGTAGATCGACCTGTAAACCGAGAGCTTTGTTCGAGAACTCAGCTCCCGCTTCACTACTACGGGACGGCACAGCACGGATGCCGCACCGATCCGCCGGCCGATCTCCCGCTCCCACTTGCCATCGCTCGCGAAAGAGACCCCGAGGTACTCAAACTCCTCCACTAAGGGCAGCTGTTCCCTCCTCACCTGTAGAGCACAATTCACCATCTCCCGTGAGTGAACCATGACTTCAGATGTTGAGGTGCTGATCCTCATCCCAGCCGCTTCACACTCGGCATCAAATTGCTCAAGTGCACGCTGGAGATCACAGACTGACGAAGCAAAGAGGACAATGTTGTCTGCAAAAAGCAGCGATGCCACTTCCATGCCCCCTTACTCTATACTCTCCATACCTCAGCTGCGCCTTGATATCCTGTCTGTGAAAATCACAAACAGGAGTGGCGACAAGACGCACCCTTGGCAGAGTCCAACACGCACAGTGAACGACTTTGATTTAACACCAACAATACAGACACAGCTCTTACTCTGGGAACAGAGGGACCGGATAGCACACAAAAGCGGCACCGGTAGATCATACTCCCGCAATACCTCCCACAAGATATTGTGGGGAACACGGTCATATGCTTTCTCCAAATCTATAACCAGCCATTTGGTTTTCATTTCCATTGGTGGCCCTGAGCCTGTGATGGAAATTGCGCCATCGCTATTACAGGGAGAGATGTTCCTCTCCAAATTGTTTTCTTTGTGTCACGAGCCGGAGCTTGAGAAGATGATGTCCAAGCCTCCTCAAAGAGTTCCTCTTTTACAAAGACTGTCACAACAGAGACTTGCATAATTACAATGCTGGAAGCCTTGTTGATAAATCATTCATCATTTATCGGCTTGCTATTGTGTTGTAGTAGTTTTATCATTAAGTATTTCTCGGCAAATTCTAATTTTACTTTAAGATGCATATATAGAGAGAGGTAGGGAGCAGTGGTAAAAAGTGATTAGCGTACTGATCTATGAACCTGACGATCTGAGTTCGATTGCAGGCCACAACTAACAACAGTGGCAAGTGATATCAGGACTGGTCCTGCCCTCCACCCATTTACCAACCCACAATGACCAGGGTGGTGAAGTATGGTAAAAAAAAAATAAACCCATGGCCAACAAGGTGTGGGGCAGCCTTCAATCATTAGTCTATTTAGAACGGCTGACAATCATATTATTATTACAATGTATGTGTGTTGAACTTCTTTCGCACCGTACGTAGCCAACCGTGCTAATCAGAGGTGCGGGGGAAGGACAACAAACTGAACACAAAAAGCAGTTCTAAGGAAATAAGTTTTCAATCGTGGCTTCATACGCTCGGAAGAGCATTGCAGACAACCGCAGAAGCGCATCTGAAAGTGTGCAATGCAGTTACCGTCTTTGTTCAATGGTTAGCCAAAAGCCGCTGTTGCGAGGATGACTGAAGAACTTTGTAATTGCTGTATTATGTGGTATTGTTCGTACAGTACTTCAGCATGAGATTGTCAAAGTGGTCTACATGTGTCAAATGATGCCACCACATAATCGCATCTTCAACGATGTCTGAGATCACGAATTCCGATAACACTGGAAGCCGGAGAATTATCTCGCAGACACAGTCAGAATCGAACGACGTAACCCACAGTCTCTTCAGTGGTAAGTGCACCAAACTGCTGGGCCGTCCTACCAATTGCAGTGTGATAATTCACGTTTCATAAAATTATAAGGCTATGATTGCAATGGTATACATTACACAGCATTAAGCTGATATGCATTCAGCAGGGCACAGCTGAAAAATATTAGTCCAGAAGTCCTGCAGATTAAAGCATTATTTTAATTAATATTGAAATGTTAAAAAATATCGTGCTTTTTGTTACATTATTACCCACAATTCACGATGAAAATAAGTTCCCATTTAGCCAAAACAATGGCCAATTTTCTATTGCGTTTAATGTTATTCTCTTGTGTACGTGTTTTTAATAAATGAAGATATGGTAGCAGGACAACTCTTCGGAAATCGAAGGAGTTGAATGTATTATTATTAAATATATCCAATCCGGCCAAGTGGCTCGGCGGTAGAGCAAGTGGCTCAAAATCAAAAGGTTGCGAGACCAAATCCTGATTGTGGGTCGACTCAAATCCTGATTGCGGTCCCGCACTTCTGATTGGCACGGTTGGCTATGTACGGTGTGAAACAAGATCAACGGACGGACGTACATACATGACTCAGCTCGTCATCCCACGAGGGTTAATCAAATATAAACCACTTTGCTGGCAAATCAACAGACGTTGCCCATTGGAGAAAATATTGCCCTCGTCATAGGAATTAGGAATTTCCAGCGCTCGCTGACGGCTGTATACAGGAGATGAAGACTATCTCGATGCTCATTTGTATTACTTTGACTTACGTATACCAGGTATATACTTTATTATGCAGCTCCATTGAGTCTACTGGGCACAGTACTACGTTTAAAATAATTAATTGGGCCACCATGCGTATTCCTTCGCTACAAAGCCACGCTTCAACTAACCGGATGCACTCAACAGTTTGCGATGGGAATGAGAGGAAGTGAGTGAACAATTAGCAGAAAGCATAACTCAGCTTGACGCTAAATACGGGGAAGAGGGGGAAGGGCGTTTTAATTAAAAATGAGAACTCTCCCACGATTTGTCAACACAATCGCCGGAAAGCGACATTCGTCTGAGACTCAGAAAGATACAGGGTACACAGCGTGCCCGTTAATTTAACGCGACAGCACTTCTAGTTAACGCAACTCCCTTTCCTACCCAGCAAGTTGTGCCACACTCCTCTTTGTGTGGCTTGTCCCAACTACCTCCAGTGTTTTTACAGGCACAGCGGTAAATTCTGAACAAATTGGCCGCAAAGCAGCGGTGGTTTTGCTGGCAGAAACATTTAGAGACACGTGGCTACTGGCTACATGTTGTGGGAGTGTTGCTTCGGTCAAGTTATGGTCAATTGATTGTGGTCACCGCGGCGCAGTTTATGTGCACGAGTCACATCAGGTTCATTTTTGGCGAGGCGAGGCAACGCCGGGCTGTGAATCGCAGCGTTCGGTGGCTGTATGACAACTCGCAGAAGGTGACTGACCCAATTCTCACTGCATCTGCACCCGATTGATTTGCGTAGATGGAATCACGGTGTTAAAAGTGTGCTATCCGCATCGAAGAATATGTTAAATAGTAGGGGGCGACACGGTGAATCGATTAATCACTATTGATTGGTAAGTAAACAATATCTGCTT